CCCACTAGGCTACACTTCCCATGGAAGTAATGTCCCGAAACGGTGTTTGCCGGCAAAATGGGATATAGATGATTTCTCCGAATCTGGATGTAGAGACAACTCCAGACTATGTAATTCCGTTATATGGGAGCAGTCTCACTCCTTTATAGGAGTTTTACCTTTCTACTCCTTTCTAGGACTTTTAGTTTTCCCCTTTAGGATTGTGTACCCTTTAGTGGGTTTGTATTTCCTTCCTGTGGAGTTGTTGTATCCTTTTGTGGATATTTTTTCTAATAATATAACAAGTTGACCGAAAAAAAAAAAGAATGATATGCATTTGTTAGTGTTTTCAAAATCTAATTTCATCATTTATCTATCATTCATGATATATAATAATAACTATTTTTTCATGTTTTTAAAAAATCCATTTTTAAAAAGTATCATTAGCTCACCTATAGTACTTTTTCATATATACTAACTTAATTTTTGAACATTAATAAAATGACCGATCGGTGCTACAACGATTTAAACATTTACCACAACCTAAAAACGAGTATTTTGGATAATTGGATTTGAGTTTTAGTTTGGAGAGAAGAAATAGAGATATGTGTGGATTCTGAATACTCCTACAAGGAACCGAATAAGTAAATTTTAGTGGTGACATTTCTTACGGACTTGGATTTTATTCTTTCAAATAGATTTGGTGTAAGATTGATTCGAAATTTCCCATTAAGTCTCTAAATAACTATGTTCACCAATTCATAATTGTCTCTATTACTTTTAAAATATCTATATATGATGGAGTCGGCAGGTTATATATATAATCATTTGCGTGATTGGAATGATAAGCTTAAGATCCAACATCCAATGTTGGAGGTCCCTTTAATTGTGTAACACATGTCACTTCCAACACCAATGGAACTCCATATTGCTTATGTGTGTATTAGATGCCTATCCCATTTCACTAATATTTTTTTTTGTTTCTCTTTTAAAAAGGTTTTCCTTTATTGTCCAATTCGTATGTTTCCTAATTTTGGTAATACGTTTTGTATATGAGTAGTAAACTATAAATGAGTTTTGAAAAATCTTCAGCAACCTAAGTAGACCTCGACTATTATCGTCGTGTATCTCAAAAAAAAAAAATTCTTACTGTTTTAACTATTTTTATCAATAATTAGCGAAAATATACTTCAGTTAATCTATTGAATTATTTACAAGAGGAGATTATGATCTGCACAAACTGGATAATTCATCCTACTCTGGATAGTACATGTTATTTCAAGTTACAGGAACTGTCTTTGAATGTATAGATAATTTAGTAAATGGTGATCATAGGCAGATGCAAATGAATTTAACCCTAAAATGTTCCTTTTGATCTCAAAGTGGCCACCTAATAAGATTTGTTTTTTTGGTCTGTGTTTTTATTATCATAACATGGCAACATGCAACATGTTATCATGGCACATGAAATGTAATCATAAGGATAAAACAATAAAACTGATTTTCAATTTCAAATGAATTTTAAAAATAGAAGGGATAATGATATCTAATGTTATGGGAGACAAAGATAGATCCAAGCCAGGTAAGGTTAGCTTGTTGATTGGAATTGATTAAACATCTATTCAACAAGACTTCGCCATCTGTACCACCAATCTTTTTTCAACTATGGATTATAATTTAGTAAATGTCATATGCCCCCATTATAAATTTTAATTATTATTGAAATTGTTGCTTTCTTAAAAGCAAGTTTATTTTAAATAGAACTATTAATTGGTCATTGTTAATCGTTTCATTGACCATCAAGAAAACTAGTGTATATGCAATACTTATATTGTTATATTTTTAATATTATTAAGGTGTAATTGTTTGAAAGACTTGTTATGTGTGTGTACTTGCCCATTTATTGTCTTTTAAAAGGACAATATATTTTCTCTACGTCAAAAAGGGCTTGGTGGTTACTTTATTAGTCTGAATGGTTCTTGATCTAATAATTTAAACACTAGCGTTAGATGTAAGTTTTTGAAATTAAAACTGATTTAAATGAATCAGTTGATCTAGAAAAATAATTTGGTGAGCGCCGATCAGATCTTTCTTTGAAGAAACTGTGATTGCTGAAGACGTGTACTAAGCGACAAGTGAAAATAATTTATCTTGCTTGACAAAAAAAAAAAAAAATAATAATTTATCTTAATTCAATGCATAGTTGGCTATTTGCGTGCATCATTATTGGCTAAATTGTAAATATTCGATTCACGTCGTGTGCAGGCATCAGCTCTTAAAAGAATACATATGCATATTTTTATCTATAAAAAGAACATATCACTTTAGTTCAGTGGTCGATCAATGCTATAAGCACTTTATTTTTATTTTTTTCCAAAGCAAAGAGTATCTTCCCGATTAACGAAAGATTATTACAAGACTAATACACGGAGCGAAATAGAAAAAGGAAACAGAATCAGTCGCCGGGCAAATTCAGATTGTTGCGTTCGGCATCAAAGAGATCCCTAAGCCAAGAGGGAGGACCGGAGGCGATATATGATTGAAATCGGTTCTCGAATAAAGCACTTTTTGCAATTTTACTTGCAGGGTCATTTGCAATCCTTGTTTCGTGAACAAAATCCCAAGATTGAATCCCACCGAACAGGCCAATCAGTTGGAGAGAGTAGAAAAGGAAAGATGGCCAAGCGGAAGGTTTTGACACCGCATTGACTAAGTCTCGGTCCGTAGCCGCAAACAAAACATTTTGGAAGCCAATGGTTGAGAGGCTTTCAATTGCCCATCGAATACCCAAGTAGGAAGCATCCAATTGTGAAGGAACCAGCGCAAAGGACCTTCTAGCATGAAGCAAAACCTCGCCACTGGCATTACGAACAACCCAAGAAGCCCCACTGTTCGTGGAATTCTTGATCCATGAAGTTGCTATGTTGCATTTAACCCATGAATCCTGAGGCGGTTGCCAAAGCTCTTCCCGGGTGTGGATGATAGGGGGTTGAGAGGCTTGAATTGTTGACTCAACTTCTTGCGCCAAAAACCAGTTGTTGGAATCCTCAAGAGCTTTATTGACTGTATCTT